TGTCTTTACCAAGTTGCTATGTTTCTCACCCTATTTAGGGTTTAGATGTTTGAACATATGAAAAATTTGAGCGATACTTTGTATTAAAATGGCAAGTTACACATTAGGAAACATAGAGTAATCCCTAACATATTAGTACTAGTTGAGTTGACCGAATTGAGTTGTTGACTTAACTTGACCAAAATTGTCGGTTGTCACAAACGACATGTAGAAGAATGATCGGTTCGATTTTGTATTTAACTGCAAGTCGACCTGATATAATGTTTGATGTATGTAATTGTGCCAGGTACTAATCGAACCCAAGCGAACCTCATCTCACTAAAGTTAAAAAATATCTTTTGATACCTCAAAGGAACAGTTTTGTTGAGATTTTGGTACCCTTCAAAGACATGATTCTTTATTCAAGCATTTTCTGATGCGGACCTGGGTGGATGCCAATTGGATCCAAATAGCACAACTAGAGGGTGTCAATTATTGGATGGAAATCTTGTGAGTTGGCAATCGAAAAAGCTAACTTTTGTTTCGATTTCGACTGCTGAGGTAGAATACATTACAGCAGCTGCATACACATCACAAGTTATTTCGATTCAAAGCCAATTTCGTGACTATGCGATCAACATGAAGAAAATACCTTTGTATTGTGATTCTCAAAGTGAATTTCGCATTTTTCACAATCCGGTCCAACACTCGAAAACAAAACATATTGCTCTTCGATATCATTTTATCAAAGACCACGTCGAAGATGGCAACATTGAAGTCCATTTTGTCAAAACAACATATCAACTTGCTAACATTTTCAGAAAACCTTTAAATGTAAATTCATTGTTAAGGATTTTGAATGGTCTAGGAATGATGGACGCATCCTATGTTCCATATTCTTCTTGACTTTGACTTAAACATATGTTTTATCTTACTTTCGACTATTATTGTTACTTTCGAGTTCTAGGTATATCTTTCGTATGTTATAACTTCATTTCGACTATTTGTGTTATGTTTAGAGGTTACTGTTCACGTTCAGCATTCGACTGCGTTTGCATTCGACTTCACTATGACTTGTTCAGTACACAATTCATATTTGATGGAACATTTTCGACGCACAAACCATGCTTGATGTCTGCTAGTCTATGGGTTAAACGAATCTTGGTAACATTTTTCTGTTTGTTTAATTTTGTTTTTGCTGTGTTTCTTTAATAAAAACAAAAATACAAAAAGATTTTTGATTTCTTTTTTTCTTTAAATTCTTCAAAAAATCAAAAGTAAAAAATATTTTATATTTTTCTATTATAACACTGAAAATACAAAAATATTCTTATTAGAATCTCATTGTAACAACATGATGCTCGTTCGCATGCCAAATGATCATATTTTCCAAGGGAATAGGTATAAATGGAAACTATGTACTAGTCAAGTGTCCCTAGAAGCTTGCTACGACATGTTGTCCTCAAGCCTCAAAGACTCTATGTGTTTGAAGCCTTAATGAAACTTATCACACGATAGTTTCTTCCCAATCAAGCTGTATTCACATTTGTCAAAGAGCTACCTTTCTTTTATCAAGATGATTCAATAGTTTTCTGCTTGGTCAAAATTTTTAGTAGAGGTAAAATGAGTTCTTACACCCAATCTTTTTCACCAAAATTTCTTTCACTATCACACATTACAGTACATATCCTCGACATCTATGGCCGAAACCGCCATAATATATATATATATATATATATATATATATATATATATATATATATATATATATATATATATATATATATATATATATATATATATATATATATATATATATATATATATATATGTAGAAACTCTGTGTTTATGATTTTGAGTCATTCTTTCGTCATGATGGTGAAACCCAACGAACCTAACTTTCAAGGAATTGACGGTGAACAACATTGTTCAAGATTTTAATGAAACATTTGTTTCTGTACCCGTTCTATATTCAGAATATCATTCTATTCAAATTGCGTGATCTTGATAAAATGTTCTAACACCAAGACGTTTTTACCTAAAAAGATCCAGTACTTTGAATTTTTTATTGGAATGAGGTTTTAGTCTGCATATCTTTTCTGAACTTTTGTTACTAATAATAATCACCAGCCATACTTGTTCTTGACTACACTGGTCATCCATGTAATTTTGCTTAATTGAATTACATTTATGTTAAGTTGTGTCTTTGTGCAAAATTGAATTCGCCTTCGAAACCAATGCAAAAGAAGCCTTCGATGCTCATAAACGAGTATTCAGTTGTAATTCATGAGAAACCACACAAGCAATTTTTCATCTCTCTTGATGTCGAATGAAGAGATCTTTGATCGGGTTCAATTTGCTTTTGTATCAAATAAAATTTGATAACACAATATCCACATTTTGTTTTACTTGCTTCTATCTCATTCTTTGGCACACAAATGCACTGAAATCCTTGAGGTTTTGGGTATTACCAACTCGAAACTTCGATTTTTCAAAGTCTGGCGTATGATTTCGCTTCCCAATCCCATAAGTGAATGAGGCCAGCCTTCATATCGAAGGAATGGTCTTACCTTGGTGTCGAATTACACAGTGTACTTGTTTGAGGATCAAAACATGTGACGATTCTTATCCAATTGGGAATATCGAAAGCTCTGATGTACTTGACGGTTCAGGATTTTCACGTGAATCAATGAGAACGTGATGATCACTTTTATGACATGGAGCTTTTTATGGTGTCGGTTAAGTAACCAACACAATACGTGGCATTGTTTTATTGGATATCGGTTCAAATTCAAAAATACCTTCGATTATAAAAGGAAGTTGATAATTTCCTTATCAATCTTTATGCTCTTTGATCAAACCTTCAAGAACCCAGCTATTCATCGATTCTCACAACTAATCTTCGTCTCTGATCCCACAACGACTAATGATGAAGAAGTTTCACAACTGATGATAAAGATTCAAACAACTAATCTTCGTATCGTTCCTTCACTTGATCACTATCCGGAGGAATTACAAATGCTTGTTCAAACTCTGAATAACTTTGTATTATCAACTGCACTGTCTTTATCGTTTGCAATTCCGATGACTTGGCTTTCACTTGCTTCTTCAACTGTTGTATTCAACAAAACTACTAATGTGGTTTCGTTTCAACTCTCGAATTTAAAGATCAAGAAGATCACTAGGAAGTAATTCACCTAAATTCTGAAGTAACCAGTTTCAGGTACATTCTATGAAGTCTCGAATGATCAGGTGCTTCATATGTTCAATGAAATGGGGCATCAACCAACTCTTACTGGAATAAGTGACTTTAAAAAGTCTGGTCTTCCTTGTATGTGGAGTTTTCTGTTTGGGTTGTGTAACGCTCTTAACAGGAAGAAGCTCTGGGCTCGACAAAGCCAAGCTTGAACTCTATTCAATCATAGTAGGACTGTATTATGATCTGAATGTGGATTATGCTACACATCTTTGGCAGGAGTTTGGAACCTGAATCACACACATGAACTTACCAAATGGTGTTTCGAGTGCTCGATTTCGGAGTTTGATTTTGAAAGAGGTTTATAGTCAAGAAAATATTCTCATTCCTGTTGGAATTGGGTATGCTAAATTTCCGATAATGGCTGCTCCAAGGGTTTTTGTGGATGTACCTATTTTTTTCCACTGTTGCTCGAATTTCGGATTCGATGCTCAAGCTTGTTGATACAAAAAATTAGTTTTTGGTTCAATACTTAACATCTATTTATTCTTCTATTATCACTCGGGTTCTTCAACAAAAGGGGGTAGAAGGCACGTTGAAAGGATCTAAGGTTCCAATGAAGAAGAAACAACTCAAAAAACCACAAGCTGTGGAGGAAGAAGTTGTTAAAGAAACAATATCGACGAAATATGGGGTTCTAAAATCGAACAAAGAAACCCACAAAGAAGCCCTTTGAATCTCCTATCAAGACAAATTTTCAAGAACCTGTTGTCCAACAAGTTGAGCCTATCGGTGTCGAATCATCTAATCCTCGTTCCTTCAAGAAAGGTTTAAAGATGGTTCAAAAACCACAATTTAACAGGAAATATGTTCTATTTTGTGAAGTCTCTATTCCTGTTTCACCAGCTTCGAAGAAGCGTCAAGCTCTTGAGATGGCTCACAAGTTACAAAAGAAGAAACGTAAGATTCCAGTTCCACTTGACAATGTGACAGCCGAAACTGATCACAACCGTGATAGTGAAAGTTCAGATATTCGCGTAGAAGATTATTTTATTTGATCACCTCGAAGGGATTCTCATATCAAGTCGATTTTCGAGGAGACATGGTATCCTGGTAACAATGTACACGTTTCTAATACAGATACAAACATCAATTCGAGTGATCAGCAAAACATAAATATCCCTAAGCAAACTATTGTCAAACCATCCGGGGTTTCAACTACCAGGTCCGATAAGGAGGAGTTTCGAACTCCAAACATCATTATGGACTTATCTAATAAGGGCACAAATGTCAATATGGATGATAGGATAAAAACATTGCATCTCTTGTCACTTCAACCATAGAAATTTCAACCATTGGAACTTCAACCATCGAATCTTCAACAACCTTACGACCACCTTCATCATCGACTTTTACTTCTATTCCAATTTCCACAATTTCACCAACATTTTCTTGTATCATGCAAGAAACTATTTTAGCTCTCTTTTCATCACAATCCATTGAAAAGTCCAAACCCGAACATGAAGTTGTTGAGGATGATATTATGGTGTCTTTTGCTGAAATTCAATTTGATCCAGAGGAAGAGAATATTCCGGATCAAATGATTATGTCGGAAAAAAAAATTCTAGATTTTAAACTCCAAGATCAATTCGATCTTATAGTTCTTGGTTGAACATGAAGCAAGCATTCTATCTGTAGAGTCGAAGTTGATTCCCTTCTCAAAGTTCAGAAGTCTAGGTTGCAAGCTCTTATCGATGATGTTAAAAAGAGAAATGATGAAAGGATTTTCAATCATTCTCAAACCATTTCTGGTGAAGTTTCTAAGATGTGTGATGTTTCAAAAGAACGTCATGAAAGTTTTGTTAAACAATTGGAGGAAATGAAAGTATGCTTGCAGAATCATATTTCTGATATTCGAAAGTTATTGGAATCTGAGGTTGAAATTTTTTCTAAAAATTATTCTAAATTACATATGAAGATTGATGTGATTGATCAAGCTTTAACTTGCTTGATTGAGGACATTTCTTCATTCAACAAAGATTACACTATTGGTATTCAAGACATAGTGAAAGAAGATGTTCAAGTCTTTACCAGAGTGGAGGAGTTCTTATCTGAAATTAAAACAATGATTTTGGCTCAATTGACGATTACTCCAGAATCCATATCTCAAATGGTTTCTAACATCGAAACCAACATCAAGGCTGGATTGGATCCGATAAGGAGATTATTAATTTGACACACGAGGTACACGTTCAATCCTGGAAAAATCAAATTCGAATGTTGTTCCAAAAGATAAAGGGAAATAAATCATATTTGAACAATCAAAAGAAGAGAAGAAAAAGAAAAAAAGCCTTAGAAATCGAAAAGCAACGGCAGATCAATAGCATACTAAGGCGAAGAGCAAATGACCCACCTGGCTTGAACACGGGTGATCCCAACAAGCAGTGGTGTTATGATAATAGAAGATATTGTTTCGATTGAATTGAATGATTACTTTCGAAAAGTGCCAAAGAAAAGCTTCGACATTGAAAATTCTGACTTTGATCAGGTTAACTTTCTAATCAATCATATATTGTTCACTTCTTCTCAATTCAATATTGTAGAGAACTTCAATGATAAGGAAGAATTTAAAAGATTGAAGATTCGATTTCACGCAGTCTTAGCGAAAAATGAAGAAGAGGTATGGTCACCTGTGAATATAATCAAAGTTTTAAGGGAAAATAATATTGTTTTTGAGTTCTCAGTAGCAGATTTTCCTTTGATGAACTTTAATGATCGGATCTTGGTTATGAAGATATTGAGTGTTATAGATGTGTCAAGGATAACAAAGATCAAAAAGGATGATTTCATCATTGGTTTTGCTCATATCTATGTTTTTGTTGACAACTATTATGATTGCTTGGCAATCACTGATATTGAGCTTGCAACATCGATCAAAAAGCCTTTTAAATTTCCTTAATCCTTGTTAAAGGAAAAGATAAAGATTGAAGAATATGAAGATGGTGAAATAATTCACAACCTCTTGGAATTGTGTTTCAAGGAAACAATAGAAATGGGCGTATGATGAAGTTCTTGTTTCAAGTGAGTGATCTTGAGAGATACACGAACTCTCACTATACAAATTTCCTTATTCGAATCAACAATTGCAAGAAGAACGACAATGAAGACAAAGATGAGACTCAAAAAAACGTTTTGTGGTATATGGAGATTTGAGGAGAACTTCTATAGACTCTAAAGTTTTTTGCATAATTTTGGCTACTCTCACTAAGGGGGAGATTGTAGGGCTCAAAACCTATATAGCGAGGAGTCGAATTTGTCAGAGTCTGTAAGGAGGCGAAATCCAAATGATTTCGACTCTCTATCTATTTTACAAGGCATTGCTATTTCGATGTGTGAATGTGTAGTCCTTGTAACATTTTTCGTGTTTCATGTTCCCTATAAATAGGGTAGGTGCATAGAGTATAGTAACTTTTCAAACCTTGGAGAATTCTCTTGTACTCTTTTCTCTTATGTAATCATCCAGACTAATCGAGCCAAAAATACATTATTTACATCTTGTGTTCATATACATCTTTGAATGTGTTAATCATTTTTGTTCGTAATCAATTCTAAAACACTTCAATACTTGATCATAATAACTCGTTGATTCGTAATCAATATAATCCATCTATTAGAAATCAACCATAGGAGAAGGTGAAATCAGATCTAAGCAGATTTACTCGTTAGTTCTTGAAGTTAATTTGTTTTCTTGCTTGCTTAATTGTTTAGTTGATAGTAAGTTCCTCTGATCTTGCAAAATTAGTAAAAACCCCCAATCATTGTTTGTGTTTTAGTTTAATTAGAAGTAGTTATTTTATTTAATTGAATTCCATTCCCTATGTTCGACACCAGACTTACCTCAGCTATTCTATAATCTGACTAGGTACACTGCCTATAAGTGCATAGTTAATAAAAGATTGTTAGGTTATAAATTTAAGACTGATAGGTATATTTGCGCATTTCAAATTTTTGGCGCCGTTGCTAGGGAACGACTTATTTGATTTATAGTTTAAGTGCTTTTAGTTACTCGATCCTTTTTGTGGGGCAACAACCGCAAAAAGTTAATTTTTTGCATTAGTTTAATTTTACTTTGCTTTCTAAGAATCAACCACATAGTGGTTACCTTTACCACGTCGCGGTTACGTCTCAGTGAAAATTTTACTTTAATAATTTTTATTTCTTTTACGCGTTTTTGTTTAATTTTTGTTTTCATTCCAGTGATTTATGATCCAAGGATCCAAAACTTCACTGATTCGACCATTTCAAGATCCAGAATCATCTTTTCACAAGAAAAAGAACAAGAAAGGTCGACGATTCAAGTAGCAGTTTTCAATCGGACAAGGGATTTGAAAGATTTGAAAGAACTACAAACGAAAATGGTATTGGTTACAAGGCAGGAACAGAGAGTGATTCAGAAAATGACATAAAAAGTGAGGTTGAAGAGATGGTGGATATCACAAGAAGAACCATGGGGATTACAAGAAGAGGATATGTGAAGATAATACACCAGGTTTTGTACCACCCGAGATACCATCTAAAAGAAGTTTTGAGCTTAAGGGGCACATTTTGTTAATGCTCAAAGACATACCTTTTGCCGGGAAAGAGTACACAGATGCATTCAAGCACATATATTAAGTAAAAGACATTGCAAACTACTTCAATTTTCCAAACGTGCCACACAAATTAGTGTTACTTAGGATGCTTCTGGTGACATTTACTGGTGAAGCTAAGGTTTGGTTGAAATCACTCGCATCAGATCCATTACTACATGGGCAAATCTTCATGACGCTTTTATTGAGCAATTTAATCCACTTTCTAAGATCTCAAAGCCCAAGAAGAATATTGCTAATTTTCAACGAAAGGTTGGAGAGTCCTTATATGAAGCAAGGGAGAGATACAAGGGTTTGCTTAGGAGTTGTCATGAACAAGATCTCAATTTCCAACAAGAAGTATCCATTTTATATGTTGGAGTGAACGTCACAACAAGGCAACTTCTTGACTCTCAAGGACCAATGACAAAGAAGGAACCAACCACTATTAAAGATTTGATTAAAGAGTTCGCGAAGAATTCACGTGAGTATCATAACCCACGAGAGGATGTTACTAGAGATAAAGGAGATAGAGGGAACGAGAACATCGCTGCAGTTTTGGCAAAACTAGATAATATGGATCGGAGGATGACAAAGATGGGTCAATATATCCATGCAATAAGAGTTGGGTGTGATAATTATTGCGGCCCACATTTGACTAAGGATTCTGATCTAGATGAGAATGGTAACCGAAAAGAAAAAGTTTGTTACTCAAGTGGTGAATGATATGATGAAGATTGGAGGAATCCCAAAAGGAATGGTTGCCATATGAAGAGTAAAAGAAGCATAAGGATGAAAAATTTAGACAAACCGGTAGAGGTTTTTACCAAAAAGAGAAACAACCACCTTAGAAGAAGATTGATTTTGAGTCGTACTTCATGGGTTTATCGAAGCCTCAGAAAAAAGGCATGATGCTATGATGAAGTATTGAATCGAGTTATGAATGTAGAATCAGAGTAATGAGAATTAAGAACACCAAGAGTAAATAAGATCTTGTTTCAGCTCAATTATGCTTCACGATTACAAAGAGAGAATAGACAATACAGACTTCCAAAACCCTTTTCTAACTCTAAGTAACATTTCCTATTTATAGGAAAACAGTAAAGCATACAAAAAAAATTATAAAGGACTAAGCTTTATAGTTTCGACACAAAATGCCTTTGTAAAATTACATTACATTTCGACACCTTACAATATAATTTTGACCCTTACAATCTCCCCCTTTGTAAGTAGTGTCGAAATCAGTTGATCAAAACTTGAGCAGCTAAGTGTAATGTTCTTCGAATCTCAGCATACCAATTCATCACCTTCTTTAGTTCTGCCTTATCTCCATCATTATTCTTCTTACAATTATTCATACGAACAATTAAGTTCGTATACTGTGCAGTTGTATATCTTTCAATTTTGCTTGTTTGAAAAAAGAACTTTGATGGCTTTCCCTTCTTATTCTTCCCATCAAAAACTATACCAAAAGGCTTCAAACATATTTCACCATCTACATACTTCTTCATCTGAGCTTCACTCATTGCCTTGATTTTAGGAGCAACAATTTCCTTTTCTACTGTAGCAGCCAACTCAACGTCTGTGATAGCAAGACAATCATAGTAATTGTCTATAAAAGTTTTATATGACCTAGACCCAATTTCAACACATCATTGCTTGTATTTTGGAGTTTAGAAGCATCTAAATCCTTGAGTATATATGCAACTTGAATTAAATCATTCAAATTCATCAAAGGAAAATCAGCAATGGAAAATTCGAAAGTTTCTTTGTTTGCCCTCACTACATGATATCGAAAATTCTAAAGCATATTTTCAAACATTTCCCCTTTTGATATACCAAGTACTTGAACAATTTTCACCAGTGACCAAACATCTTCTTGTTCCTTTCCCAACACTGCATAAAATCTCAACTTCATGTGAGAAAAATCATCGTTGTTCTCAAATCTGTTCACAACCTTGTATTGAGTAGTGAGAAACATCATCTCATTGATAGGAAAATCAAGTTGATTTATATCTGAGTTCTCAATTGCATAACTCTTTCTTGGCTTTTTCTCGAATTCATACATTTCATTGTATGTAACTCTTGCTTCAATGTTTTCATAACTGTGCAATTTTATTGGATCACCTTTGTTTCACTTGAACGAAGCATCAAAATACTCTGAATATGATGCTGCTTTTCCATTTCAGCTTCAATTTCAGCTTTTCTTTCTTCTTTCGGCTTTTCAAGAAGAATTGTTTTCCCTTTGTCTGAAGTTTTTGTTGTTTCCTTGGGTTTCGAACTACTTCCCTCTTTACCAGCTGACCCAATTACAATGCCTTTAGAGATTGGCCTTGTAGTAACAACAGTTGATATTACGGGTTCAGCTTGCGAAATTATTGGTTTTGAACTCGGAATGTGAGTTGTAAAAACTTTGCCAACTACTTTCACTTCATCATTTGTAATTCCTGATGCACCTTCTCCTTTACCAACATTCACCTTTTCTCCCCCTTGCACCCCTGTAAGAACATGTGGGGCATTCGTTGGTAAGACAGTGGCAAACTGAGACAAGGGAGCCAACATTTTTTGAATTACAGCTTCGAAATAACAAAACTTCTGATCAATAAAC